TAAAAAGATAAATCAAGCGAGTAATAATAATCCAACTGCATAATGATGATAGTGTAGTGAACAGAACACGGGTTGAGACAATCGAATTATATTTAGTACAACATTACAGAGTTACTTGGTAAAATAGAAAAACCATACTATAATATCTAATTTGCAAAATGTTTAATAATTGTCTCGAACTTCATTGTTCCTACATTCCCATAGTAATTACTTTCTATTCCCTCTCTTCCTTTCTTGATCTTCCCCATCTTCTGCTGCCTGACTCGCGTTATATACTACTTATATCAATATAAGTAACACGCACCACAATAGAACTAAATATAAGTTTCTTTAAAAATGGAACCAAAAACTTATTTAAATAATTGCAATTCCATTAATTAATTTTTTATTGTTCATCTAAAAGATACGAATTAAAATTTGTTTAAATTCACCCCATTTACCAAAAATCAAATTAAGCAAGCATAAATCGAAGGATAAATGATTTAAAAATATAAGTACCTTCAAAAAAAGAGAAAAATAAGTAAAAACGAATAAGCATTAAAAAAATCATCATTTAGTAGTGAATAATAAAAAGAAATAAATCAGAATGTATTACTCTTTTCAAGTAGTAGATGTTAACAAATGAAGAGTTTTTTTTCGACGAATTCAATAACTAGAACAAAATCCATTACATATGTGTCAGTTTAATTTTCCTAGTAGTAATAAGCATAGACACAATGTAGGTTTCAGTGAAATATTTGGTTTTTAATATTGTATAGTTCTCTAAATTTATTGGTTTGATTGTGAAGTTTTTAACACTATTCTCAACATCAACAGAGATGCTGTCAAAATAACTATTGTAACTAATGGTTGGAGACTCTTGGTGACATGGCTCAGAATCGATCACAATGGCGTCGGTGTATACACCATTTGTCTTCCTTTAAACTATCAGATTGACATCGCTTCATATCTTTCTTTCTACGTACTAAATCATTCTTCCTGTACTATATCGTTATATGCAATCTTTCTTTTATATATTACCACCACTGTATTAACTACTTCTATGAATTCGGTGTTCATTTTGTCGTGCTAATGAGGTATGGCAAATTGGACCGATGCATAAATGTGCCTGGTCCTACGTTGTAGCTGACTGACTGATGATGTATGTTAATCCAGTATTTCTGACTGACTGTCAAAATGAGGCGAGCTTTTCAAAGTTGCTTTCAGTATGTAAGATCATAATGTCCTGGTGATTAAGTGATTATCTTTGAAATTATCATGTACCTATGTACTACTGTAGTGAACAGAACACGAGTGGGGACAATCAAATGTATTTAACACAAAATTACAGGACTTGTTAATAAAATCTAACAATCATAAAGTAAATGCTTAATTTGAAAAATGTGCACCAATTGTCTCAAAATGACTCAGACTTCATTGTTCTTGCATTTTCCATTCTTTACTGTTCGATCCTCTTGTCTCTCTGCTGCCAGACCTTCTGTTCACGACTAACATCATATAATACTTATGTCAATATAAGTAGCACACAACACTACTTCTGACCGTCTTATTCATCCACTCTGATTGACCTTACATAAATGAATAGATTATACATAAGTCAATATATTTATTGATTGTAGATTGATCGAGATACCATATTAATAGTTCTTCAGGATTTTAAAAATCTCTTGATCGGGAATTTTGATACTTTTTTAGGTGAAAATATACCCATATTTGTCTATGTGGATTGACATGTGACGTCAATATGTAAATTATCTGCATATCTTTCGCTGTCGTTTAGTAGAAAGACAGGTTCACCTAAAAGTGTATTAACACTGTACAACGTACCATAACAATGTTTGGCAACAATGAATAATCAAGCCACGCTAATACAACTATTAAAAATCTAAAACTAAGAATATAAGATTTGGGGCAGAGTCAGAAAAGTACAAATGAAGCAAAAACTGACTGTTAACCGCGTTACTTATGACTAGTAGTTTTGGTATAAGTAATCATTTTTAGTATTGTCATTCAACCAGCCGAAACAAATGTCTAGCATCATAAAACTACGATACTGTGATACTCGGTCAAATGTGCAGAAAAAACATATTCACTCCAGTATTTATTGACATTTCTGAAGTAATAATTAAGAATGTATATTCGTCATAGAGCTGTATCTAACAAATTCCGTTTGTTAGATAACATGTTAAAAAAATAGTTACATCTACCTACATTGGCACACTAAACTTCAAATGAAAGGGTGTAGTCCGAATTCGAGTAAAGTTATACTTGGTAAACAACTTGCTTCAACAGACAAATGGATACCCTTTCATAATAAACAACGATGCTTAAGTGTTACTTGATCTAACCCCAAAAAAATCATGTTTGTAATATAATCTTTAAAAAAATTCATGATTCAGATGATATTTCTTCTGTCAAATTATTCCAGCGATATCATTTCAATCAACTAGATCGGATCTAAACACATCACTTAACTATTCAGCATTCTACAATTTATCCATTAAGAGAAATATTTAAAAATGACAAACAATCAAGTGGAAGCAGTTAATATAATCTGACAATGGAGAAACAGTATGACATTTGAGAAAAAGTCACTGGCATAATAATTCGTTTTTACGAAGAAAATAGGTAGTAGTTTTCATAAAGGCAAGAAATGCCAAGAAGTTTATTTTTGCGTTGACATTAAGATTATATATATATATATATATATATATATATATATATATATATATATATATATATATATATATATATATATATACTTTTGTTATGATAAAATTAGTTATTTGGAAGAAAATTATTTCGAGAGACAGAAGAATTAAAATAGCTAAGTATCACTGCAACCGTTGAATATTACCTTAGACCATGAAATGAACAGCAATCATACAACAGAAAATACATTTCGAGGAGAAAAAGATAACCTAATTGTCATGAAAATGTAGCTACAATACCTTTATTTTCGAAAATTATTATTACAACCTGGTTGAAAAAATAATCATAGTGCAAGTGAGCTACCTCCATCTTTTAACAGTTTATTAAAAATACTTAAAAAGGATTTGAAGTATATTCATCCGATAATATGGATAACGAGTAACAAACAGTTATGTTATTTACTTTACTGGTTCTCGTATTCTTTGTTGTGAAATGACTATAATGCTAGTATCAAGATACAACTGTTAACACTTGTAGATTATCAGGATATATATATATATATATATATATATATATATATTATTCAGAGTAATTTATAATCTTATCATATCGCATTGTTCATATTGACTCAGTTGGGTATTTCATTTAGTTATAATAATAAACATGTTGAACAGATGATTAGAAAATAAGTTGTTTTTTACTTGATAATAAAATACATGCTGAGTTAAGTGCAAAGATACGTATTAACTTTATATGAAAAAAAAGGATACATTCGTAATAGTTGACAAAACATTTTTATGGAGAAAAAGAATATAAGAAACTAACTGTTTTCTGTTGACTTATGATAAATCAATGAATTCAAAGAAAAGCTAGAATTGATAGAAAATCATTTCATCCTACTGTTAAAACTTTCAACAGTTTATAATGATTTTCTTAAAATTAAGGTATATATACCCATACATATGTGTTTTATGTGTGATCGAACTGATTTCAAACGATTGCAGTCATTAAAATCTAGTTATAGGAATTTAATTCTTTCTGTTATTATTGTTAAGGATTGTAAGTGATCAGTCACTTTTGGTATGTATATCGTGAGAGTTTCCTAGATATTTTCGTCAGTCACGAGGAATTCTTTAAGTGTGAATATTAACACTGCGATGCAGATAAATCCAGCTAGTGAGTCTCAGGCAAAACGAAACGCGCGTACTCGATTCCAGTCCTACCTAATATTCAGCTTTCCTTCAAAATTGCTGTCGTTTTCTAATAAGTGATTTTGTATTAGTTTGCACTGGTCAAGAACGTACACCATTCATTTCTGGAGATTCGTGCTACAATAAAATCATTTTAATGCACTGAAGACGGTCTTTTGTTCATAAAGAGAAAATAATATGTATGGATGAAACAAAGGACCATACTCTTATATAATTATTTCTAAAATGACATCCCAACCCTTCAAAACATATAAAGACAGGCTTGTTTACTGTTCATTCATAAGAAGTGTTGAGACTGTGCATTTGAAACTTGGATTGCTCAAAACTGACGTTTTTGCAATACCAAATAGACATCAATTTGAGTTGGATACTATGAATAACATCAAGTGATAAGTTGAACATCAACGTTATCAAGTTCAGGTTAAATGTTTGACAGATCAATATTCTTTCCTACTAAGCTATACTGAGAAAATCTCTAGTGCATCAACAAGTGTTTCTTCATATACCTAGTTCTATAGCGCTAGACGTTTCTGTTAGTACTGGTAGTCTACAGTTTAAGGTGATAGGTTATATGAATCTGACCTCAGTATTGACGATATCGCTATTTCTAATCTTTCACTAAACACTTTAGTTTAATACCACTTCATTTTCTTACTTAATTTCTTTCTTTAGAACTAAATTTCAATTCTTTCGGTAATCGATTTATGTAGCAGATATGGTGTAGTAACTTGAATCAATCTGCGTTGGTGTAAGACTCCATCAGGTTTATGGTTGATTAAATGTATGTCTAATAAATTCTAGTCAATTATTTTCGTATCATACGTTTATAATCAATTGATAGGAAGACATGCCGAAGATGATATCAGTTAGTAATGTTATGTCTAAGCACAATCGAGTTGAAAGTAAAACATGTACCAATAAAATTTGATGCAGTTTTATTGATATTTTGATCAGCAGCCTATGCTTCACTAAGGACGATAGCCTTAAGAGCTCTATACAACACAAGTTTATTTTACTAAATGGATTTAAAATCAATTCCACCATAAATATACATCACTGTAAGTTTGATAATCAGAAAAATTGATTGATAAATTTACAATGAAAATTTGACAAGAAATATATCTGATTTCGCACACACACACACACACACACACACACAAAAGGTAAAATTAATCAGTCAATGATAATATTGTTTTTCACAATTAATCAATTTAACAATCCATTTTTTTCTCACTAATACTACTATTACTACCACAAACATTGCAAATAACACTATACTATTACTATGACTACTACAGCTATTTATTTCAATGAAGTCAGGCGAAAAAAGAAGAAGAATGACAAAATAAATTTATCAAAATAATATTTTTTTATCAAAATTTATTCTAATTTAAAATATCAAATTGTTTTTATTAGATGGGATAATGTAAAATTTTCTGAAGTATCAAAGGAGATACAACAAATTCATTATCATATAATGATGAATTCATCCATAATCTTAAATTATTATCATTCTTGTCTAAATCCAATCGATCAATAATTCGTTGAACACTGGATAACTTACAATCGTTCTGAAGAAGAAAAAAAAACAAACAAAGAGAAAAGATTTCATAGGAAAATCAAAAAAAAAAAAAGAAAAGAAACTTTCAATATAACAACATGAAAAAAGTAGAAAAATAAACCAGTGAAACAAAGAAATAGACGAAACACATTCAAATCTATAAACATAAAAAATGAATTTGATTTAAAATGATAAAACAACTCTTGGCTTATTTTTGTGCATGTTAATATATTACTGTATCTAATGTTTAGAGATGTTGTATATCTGAATTACATTTTTATTTTTCAAAAGTTGTCAATGTACAACAAGTTTCTTGTTGCCAATTTTTAATAAAGATCAACAACAACAAAAAATAATTTAGATAAATGTCAAATTTTTAGGTGGATTTAATTTTGAGCAAATATAAAAAAGAATGAATAATAATTGGAAAGAATTGCTAAGGAAAGAGTTGGATGGAGAATTTTGGTGGTTGACATATACTCACTCCTACATGAGGGATAATAGGAGTAAGTAAGTAAATTCAACTTATTGATTATTTGTATCTCAAAGATAAAAAAACGTGGCGATAATTGATAATTTAACATAGAAAGATAATAGTGCATTTGAATGAAATACTTTCATATGAACTAGTATATCATTATATAATTGTGTACATATATTATATAAACACATCAATATTTTCTAGTTAAAGAAATGTATTGATTATGAAAATGGTTATTCCTTGAAGTTCATAAACCGCTGAAAGGGTTGCAATACGACTAAACGTATGACGTTTTTCGCACCCAAAAAGCGAGTTTATATTACGTTACCATTCAGAGGTGACACAGTCTCATGTTGAAACGGAGACTTAAATTAGCTATAAACCGGACATTTTATGCAGCCCAACTTATCATTATCGAAAAGACAAGGTCTATGTTTCACCAAAAGCCCAAACAGCACGAAGGCGATTGTGTCACATCCCATTGCGTCTATCAATTCACATGTATGTGTGGAAACACGTACATAGGGAGGAGCAATCGTGATTTGCAACTAAGGGTGGGCGAACATATACCAAAATGGTTGCAGAATCAGATGAATTCCAATGGCCAAATAAGATCACAGAATATACAGACATCATCCTCCATTGCGAAACATTTGATTGAGACAGGTCATAAGGTTGACACCAAATCAGCATTTGTAGTGTTATACAAAAGCTTTCAAGGACGTATACTAAGGTTTATTGAAGCCTTGGCTATACGGAAATTGAAACCCCTTTTATGTGTTCAAAAACAATTTGTCCTTACAATTAACTTACCCTGGTAATACTGATTTATTATCCAGAGTGGTAATCACATTTGTTTTTGTGTACTTTATTATTTTTCCTTTGTTATGACTTACCCTTAACCTGTCTAGTTGACCTTTTAATTTTTCATATATAAATGTTCTTAACAAGTATATGTGTGATCAGATTGTTCGAAATGTATTGCGCAAATATATCACATAATTCTGATAAACTTCGTCTTCTCATTTCATTATCGAAAAATTATCAAAATAAATTTTGATTAAATTGATAGATTTTCTATTATCTAATGGAATAATTTCATACAGTCAGTTATATTAACTACATTGTTGAGTTTCATATTATGAAGAAACAATTGTTCAGTACTTCTGAATTTTCAATAATTCTCTAACTAATTACACTAAAAATTCTAATAACAAAATCTACAATCATTCACATATAAATCAATGTTCGTGAGACAAAACAAACTTAGACAGACAATTACATTTTATCAATTAAAAGTTTAATATCATCTGTCAATGTTTATTGAATGACAAATGACTTCATGATTTTTAAAATAAAAGAACATAATCACAATTATGCTGAATTACAGTTGTAACAAATGATCATTTATATGTAAAGATATACATTCACGAAAACATATTGATTATTTCAATAGAGTAGTGTTATTCAATGATAGAAATTGACTTATAGAACCTGCAATCTATGTGACAATTATCACTTCATTAATAGAGTCTTTTAAAAATTACGAATATGAATTTAGCAATATTCATATGAAAATCTCATTACAAAGATAAAATACAATGACTACCGACTACCCAGAACGAACAAAATTAGAAGATACCTATTATGCAAATTACAATTAATAACTCAATCGTTGAAACAAAATTCCTAAAGTTGTTTTGATCTACTTTAACAAAAAAGTCAAATGACTAATCAGAATGTTATTTTCATTTTTGTTCCATACGTAAATTGACTTCGACGTTTAACAGAAAACATCATTCAACTTAAATCTAGTTAAGTGAGCAAAGCTAATAAATTCAAGTAAAAAAAATGTAATATTCATGATAAATAGCACTGTGACAAAACAAATGAAACTTATCCTGACTATGAATTATGGTTGAGACAAATACAAAGAATTGATATACACGTAATTATTCACGGAACATATGAAATCCCCTCGGAATGGTATATAATTATATGGAACTCCTCAGCAGTGTGAATCAACCTCTCAATGGTGGTTTAACATTGGTCAGTTCATGATCTCAATTACAACTCAACAAACTCTACAACCGTATACACATAATTATACATGATTCAGAGGGAATAGATCAAATTTTATATTTTTGTCAAAAATTGAAAAAATCACTTTATTTTAGCGTTAATTAGTATTCTCATCAATTACTGACATTTATATAATAATGCTAATGCTAATGCTAATAATAATAATAATAACAATAATAATAATAATAATAATAATAATAATAATAATAACTGAAAAAGTTACAAGTAAAATCCTATAAGGATTGTCTAATAAACACTAATTACATTGAATAAATACTTAAACAAACATAATTGGTTTGTGGAAATAAAACTTAATGAGAGGAAGTAAAATGATGAAAATATCTTTCCTTAATTTGAATTAGTAATGATAGTACAGAATATTTTTTTATTCTCTTATTTGCAGATTGATAATAATCAGTTTACATTAATTTATAGAAATTTTGTTTCCATGTTTTCAATGGTGGTCTAACATCAATCGGTCCATGATCTCAATCAAAAACGTTGTAATCTCCACAATCTCATACTGAAAATAAGAATGTTTTAATTAAGTGAAATTAGACAGTGGCTAATAGTGAAATCCAGGACTTTTTCTCCTATTTAGATCTCGTCAGTGGGGTGTACATGCATCCGTGTTGATATTCACACTGAGACTCGAATCCAGTACCTTTCCCTTAAAAAATTGAATATATTTCTAACTAACGGTATTTAGATAAGACAAAAATAAATTAAGGTGAACAATCTTGTTTTATAGTGATAAATGAGCTGGTGCTACTACTATTCGACTGTTTGAACAAAAATAGATAAAATGGAGTTTGAGCTGTTAATTTCATTGTCAGAATTCGAGTCGCTGAGTCATCTCGATTTTTTAGGGCGGCCTGCTTGAGCATCTGGGCTACCTGTTCCTGCCATCTAGATATTTCTACAAGTTATCTATTGTTGTTTGTTTTAATATATCATTATGTTTATTAAACGCATAACCTATTCTGCTGCGTTTCTGAAAAGTGTACAACCTTTCGTTGTCAAAGTTACAGAAAACTCAATAAGAGACAATATGGTTGCTGGCAATGTACAACGAAAAGAATGTACATTATTCAGTTGTTCATTCACTGGAGTGCTATTATCTAACTGGCGATTCCTCAATATTTATCGCCAGGACCGACCAAGAAGAAAGAAACGGAAACTTGTTGAAATACTTTGCGCTGAGAATTCTATATTGTACCAAAATTATAATATTGAATAAAGCTAATAATAATAATAATAATAATAATAAGTTATCTTTAAAAAATCCTTAATAACATAGCTACCGAATAATACTTCTAGTCATAATAAAATACCAAGGTAGGTGACCACACACTACATGATTCAACATATAACTTACATCTTTATCAGCAGACAATAACTCGTTTTCATCAGTAGTAAATGATTCCAAATGATAAGCTGGTATTTCATATAAGTCAATAGAGATCCCGTTAGTTTCTGTTGAACGATCAATTAAATTTTGACTATTTGTAATCGGTAGATTAGAAAGTCGAAGACAATGAAACCAAGCTAGAATAAGATTTCCTTGAAGTATATCAGGAACCCATAACAAATCATCAGGCCACATATGTTCCCATGGTAAAGATGATGTATTTATTGTATTATCTTTATTCATTATAAGTGGAAACCAAGCTGGATGCATTTCTTCTGTATAACAAGGCCATTTAACCGTATGACCATTAAATGTAGGTGTCCATGTTCGGCAGATAAACACATGTACTTCCATACACTAGAAAATGATTTATTTAAAAATTGTTAAATTATAAATAAATTCATAAAAGAAATCATTTGATATCTCGTGAGTAGACTTCTTAAAATCATTTTATTCTGTGTAGCATTGTAAAATATCAAGGATGGTATATCAGTCGTTATGATAACAATCAACTCAAAGATGACATATTTAAGACACAAACAGACAGTAAATAGTTCAGATTGAATACTATGATCAAATACAATGCAAGTTAGACTAATTCTAATAAATAAACATTGAAAACTTCTATTACAAAAAAACAACAGTAAGACTACCTATTTATCATTAGGAATAGTATTAAACTGTTTTATGATATAAAAAGCTTTTAGGAACAAAGATCGTGAATTAATAATTAATTCAATAAACTTATAATTCATGTAGTGAAGTACATCAACAGTATTCTGACTCATGAATGATTGTTGACAAACAATGTACTAACAACAAATTAATAAGCGATTGGTTATTTCTAGGTATATATTTCCTAAAAACTTAATACTAATTTTACATGAATTAATGACAACTTATTTTATATCAAAGTAAAGTATACTTAATCTATAAGAACATTTAGGAAGAAATTGTGTGGAACAAGAAAAATTAATAAGTTACTAGTGCTAACTAATGTTTTTTAATATGTGCATTCGTTTGATTTATCTGTAAATAGAGTACCTATCAGGTTAATATTTGTCGGTAATGTGTTCGAATTTTGAACTCAAGAGGATTGCAGACTTGATTCATACAATCGTTCCACTAATATAAATGTTATAGAATGAACTTCTACAGCAAATGGTATAATGAGCAATGTATATCCTTTACGATCAGTCCCTCACAGCTACTGAAAGTGAAATTAGTGAGTGTGAGACAATCTAAAAAAACATATAAATAAACTAACCTAAAAAACAAACTACCCACCCATGGGACTAATACGATTGAAACTAAAAAAATCTAATTGGGAGTAACCAAAAAATTGGAAACTACTACCAAATATAGAAAAGGGAACACCATGAAGACAGCAATCTCCACAAATCTTTTGATTACAGTATGAATGTCTAGTAATAAGTGGTCAGGAGCATATACAATATAACTTCAAAACACATTCGAAATATTGTTTATTTTTAATATTGTAGTCAAACATTTTGCGGTTAATGATCTCGTTATTAAAATTTTTATTTCGATTTAACCAGATAATTACGTATGTTAACTTATCTATACAAGTATATGTGACATATCTACAATGTGGGATTTATCGGTTAGATTACTTAACATCTAGCATAAAGATGTTGAAGGTTCATCCTTTTGTGCCAGCTTAAACAGTCACTAACTTTCATATAAAACGAAATCAGCCTTAAACTTCAGTATATTAATCTGTACTTGGTAAATAGATTACATTTTAAAAATATCCAATACAACTGTAGATATACAAATAGATAGAAGGAAATTTTCTTTGAATTATAACTAGGTTTAAATTTCACTTGAATGTTCTTTTAAGAGATGTATATCCATCTTTATGGCTTATTTTATCTTTATAAATAAAAATAGAAAGACTGAGATAAAAATAAAGTTATCACTGTGAAATCACTAGATTATTGGCCGAATATTTCAGAGACTACACTACAAAACACATCAGTGATTTATTCTATATTAATTTTATTGTTGTGTGTTGCATTCAGCTGTCATACGAAGAAATGGACATTAATTAGAAATTTATTAATTCAGGTGGTTGAGTTCCCATGCAAAAACAGTGGACGAGAATGACTGATTACTGATACCTAATATATACCTTAAGAAAAGTATGATTCATTTATAAAGTGATAATTAAGTTTTAGAAAATCTTTGATTCAGAAGCTAGGTGATATTTCATTTTCATTTAGTTGTGATCTATGATTTCTTTCGACTTTTACTAACATTCATAGTTGAGCGTATATATATAACACGCTAGTTTGTAATTAATGCTACGTTTGACGAAATTACGATATCGTCTAAAACAGGCGGACAAAACAAAAGTCAGTAAAACAACAACTGGACAAGCTAAACAACTCCATTGAGCTCCAGCTCTGACAACTAGAGGGAAAAGATCATATTCAGTCGAGGGGAATATTACAAAAGCAGTCAGAAGCATGAACGAACAAGCACTCAACTCATACATACATATACAGTACAAAAATGTTCTTGATAAACTTCACAAAATAACTTACTAAAAGAGCAAAACAACCAATGACATTTAAGGTGCTTCCGAGTGAGAAATATAAACTGAAGGTGAATGTGGTCATTTGGGGATTTGGCATGAAAATGAGAAGTTCGAATTTCTATGTTGAAAATGCGATAGTGATACGTTTACGAAGTGATTTCTACGGATCTAGCATCCACATCAAACAAAGAAAACTCTACGGATAAATTATCCACCCTATAGAGAGCGATTTCACGTATGTGGAATGCGAATAGTGCTTGATTTCAACTGAGGCTTACAAATTGTAAGTTGAAATAATGGATTAATAATGAAATAATTTCTTATTTGAACACCAAACAGTAGCTATTAGCATCCCCAGCACTTTAGTAAATGTAACCAAATATATTTTTGTCAAATACCTGAAATTTTTTCATCATATAAAATTTAAGCGCTTCACCACCAAAAAACAAATAAATGCATTGAACAGTAGGTTTATGTGCACACTAATTCCTTTGAAACTACTGATGATAATTATTTCGATAAATGTATTTTGAAAATAAACAAAGATCATGAAAACAATAACAATGTCTTCAAACTATTACACATATTAATGCAATGTATGTTAGAGGAGATTAAAACAATAGAGTAGAATATCGTTAAGGCCATTGTGCAAACAAACACATATATCTATCTATCTTATAATATTTTAACCTCAATCCAAGATTTCAATTTACTTTAGAACTAGTAGAACAATATATAAATGCCGATCGACTGGAAGGGGAAATTATATGTAGACACACAGTGCAGACACAAAGATATACTATTTGAAAAAAGGATTTATATAAATACTTATATATTCATAACATCATAAATGGGTATTTGATCCTATTTAAAACTAGACATAGTTGAATGTAATCCCACTGCAATGTTGGTCTTCACATAGAGGTTCAAAACCTATATGTACTACAAACAAATAAATAATACGATTAAGTGGTTATTTTATTTTTCAAGAAATGTATTACTTAAATAAATATGACAGTGGGCATAAAGGATGAGTAGGTTCGCAAATACGTAGTAGTTTTTCACTGCATAAAGAAAAAAGAAAATATATAGTTATCATTTCAATTTAGTTGTGCGTCATTAGCATCAAGAAAACACTTCATTCAGGATTACTAGTTATGAACACTGATGGGACCATTTTATATGGAAACACATAGATCTATGACCTCAGTAAAACCGAGATACTAACTGTTTATTGAATAAAAAGTGGCACTGAGATCTCAAGGCCATATCATTATCGTTTAAGGACAGATTTAGTGATCATTCAATAAGCACGATCACTTAAATATTCTATCACATTGTGGAGAACAAGATTTGCAGAAAATCAATTAATTTTATCCTGATAATAATAATAATACAAAACAATTTTAATCATGGATTAACATAATCCGGACAACCATTAAAGAGCCCTAACTCATTGGACAAGTGTTTTGTCTTACTTGGAAATCGCAGTGAAATTATACTACACTGACAAATCAATAAGATCTCAGATAGATTTCAGGATTATTGTGTATGTTAGAAACAAGAATGATAAATTTACATACCCTTACTACTAATTTTACTCATATGATAATTCAGCATTTACAAGATGTCAGAATGGTTAGCAAGATTACTAAATGTGATTTCGGACATCGAATTTTATGGTAGAAAAGGCTCAAAATCAGAAGATGAATTATAAAAAAGTAAGGAATGTCAAAACAGAAGCAGTAAGTAGTATCTTTTTTAATCAAACTGGTAGATTTTCGGGATACTATGAGGTGGGAAAAAATGTTCTATAATTAAAAAATATCTGCAACTCAAGGACTACTCTTTGGATAGATAATTGGAAAGTAAATATAGGTCCTCCAAAGTAAAAATCATAATATTTGGGACATCAGTTCATCACTCTAAACCCACTCTTGAACTTTGAAATGTTCTTCTATATACTCGATTAAGTGATGACTTTCTTGATTAGCAAGCAGATACCTAGAAAATGAAGACAAGATTATTTGTAAAAATTCACCAGACAAATGTGAAGTTTTTTTAATTTGATTCAGTCTTAATCTACGCAATAACTGTATTGAAAGCGAATAAATGACCTAGTTTGTGTACAACGGTTATCCCATTCACACAAACCTTCCCATAAATATGAATACAATGCGAACTCTCATTACTTTATAACAAAAGTCTAGTCAAAGAAACTTCAAAATGTTAGATGAATATATATATATATATATATATATATATATATATATATATATATATATATATATATATATATATTACATTTTCTTCCATTAATCACAAAATGTAAGAAAACACAAAACTGAACAACACATACATACGCAATAAACGAAACCATACCCCTCTAAAGATTATCTGATAATCCCATTTACCAGAGAAAAGTAAGTTCGTCTGGCAACAATCTTATTATTCCTTTTTTTTTCTACACAACTAAACTTTTTTTCAATAAACTAATAGAACAGTGAATATGGATCACTTAGTCATCTCTTCAAATCTTATTTAGTTCTATAGTTTTCAAGGGTGGAGCGGAGATAATGATTTAACTCTGTGATTCATCTTAACAATTAATGTAATATAGGTGTACTAAATTATAGAGACACATGTGATGTATGCCAAATTCATTGAAAACTTCAGAAATTAATTGCAATCATTATGAAAATGCGTTTTTTTAAAAATAGAATTTGATTGAGGTTATCCAGAACGTTTTCAATTTCAAATAAATATGTTGTATATAACACTTTGAGCTCCGCCT